TATATATATAGTACGCTGAATATATAAGGAAGAAGAATGGGAATTTTTTTCCCAATTACCCTCATATTTATACTCATGGTGCTAAGGGAAGTGATGTCACCAAGCCTTGGTGGCTTCCCCTTCTTATGACACTTGCAACCCTCTTAGAAGTTAAAACATGATTAGTCATCCTATTAAGCCTCTTATGATGACACGTGTAATTTCTTGAAAGGAAGGAAAAATTATTTCCTTCTTGTTAAGGAAAGCCACGACAATTTTTGAGAAAACAACATAAAATACTATGGCTTAGGAAAATTAATTGAGAACCATTTACTTAACTCACGGCAATAACACATATTAAGCATGATCAATTATTCCTTAATCCCTTCTTTATGCTTAATTATCTAATTAAGCATAATACTTATCACCAAAATTATTCCGAATGTAAACGGAACGTCGAAAATAATTTCGGGTAATCTCGACTGAAAATAATTAATTCAAAAAATAATAATCGACAACGTTATTATATCGGAACTAAAACATGATTTATATTAATAAACTGACGGGATATTACATGAACGTTCACTGGGATACCAGAAGAATTCCAATTAAAAACATTACCCGTACAAATATTATGTTGCATTTTATAACACTTGGGTCTTATGTGACCAGTTACACCACAGTAATGACAGATGGGAACAAAATTATGATGAATTTTTCTAACAGGTTTCTGCACAGGTAAATGAACCTTCAAAGAGGATTTAGGAGAGAGAGGTTTGCTTACAGTGCTTTTCACGAACCTGCCAAGCATGTTCCTGGATGGTTTTCCGTGAAGACTCATCCCCTCAACCCCTAATTTGTCCGCAAAGCCAAGGCCTGGATGTTTTGCATTCGAAGCTTCAGTAGAGGATTCAGGATTTTCCTCCTTGCCAGTGTACCCTATTCCAGTAAGATCACCATGTTGTCTTCCCAAGGAAAGAAGTTCATGTAGATCAGCTTTTCCCTTGTTCAGCTTCCGAACCGCCTCAGCAGTAATCTCTGCAGAATTTTCTCTCAGTTTACTTTCCATGCTTGCATGTTCGTTCATGAGTCGATCGACTTCAGTTTTCAAATTCAAGATCTCCTTGTTTCGCTCTGCGAGAAGTTTCTGAGTGGAGAATAATTCAGACCCCAAACATTCAATGATTTGAGTCTTTTCTAGTCCATCTTGCTTAGCAAGTTTCACATTGCTCTCAAGAATGCAAGTTCGGGCCTTTGCAGTATCTAGTTCACAATCTTTCGCAACAGAGAAGGAGGAGGCTTGTTCGTTCAGCATCCTGTTTGCCCTTGATAATCTAAACACTTCATTTTGAAGCTTCTGCATGGCTTCAGATGTTTGTGCACACTTCTCCATGGCGAGCAAGTGTACTGGATCAACACATAAATTCTAGTCTACTTCGTCGTCAGATGCTTCAGTCTCTCTCAAGCTTTCTTCAAACTTGGTCGGAACGTGCGAGGTGGTAAGACACATGAACTTCTTAACAGAGGTGTGGATCGCCATATTACTAGTATGTGATGGAGGTCCTTCTATGCTCTCGTCATCTGAATCTTCCCAGGTTGCTTTCAGTGACATGTTTTTCTTCTTAAGATTAGCACACTCATACTGAAAGTGTCCAAAGCCACAACACTCCCTGCATTAGTCCTTTTCAACTCGTTGCGAGTCAGGTTTTGAGAGTGACGTACTAATCTTCTTGTCTTGAAACATATTTTTGCTGGAGTTGTTGCCTTTCTTCCTAGAGAACTTATTCTTGTACAGCCTTTGACTCATCTTTCCATAGTTTCTCGCAATCAATGCAAGAGCTTCTTTCAGCTCGCTATCGTCAGCCAAAGAACCTTCATCGTCATCACTCTTTTCTACAGCAGCTTTGAGAGTTAGACCCTTGTTTTTGACTTTGTCATAATTGTTGTGGATTTCAAACGTCCTGAGCTCTCCGAGGAGTTCATCATCATCCAGAGATGCCACTCTTTGGAAACTCTCAAGGGCTGTATTTTTTTTATCTGAACCTAGGAGCAACAGTTTTTATAATCTTTTAAACTTGACGCTTCTCAGAAATTTCTTCTCCAAGCATCTCACTTTGATTCACCAGATCACAGAATCTGACATAATATATGTCAATTGTTTCTTCATCCCTCATTCTGATTTCATCAAATTCAAGAGTAACTCGTTGAAGTCTGAACGCTTTGACAGCCGTTGAACCTTCAAAATAAACGATGTAAGACCCACCAAGCATCTTTCGCAGTCTTGCATTGAACTATCATCTTGTGTCTTGTCTGATCTACTGTCGTCATAATCGCATAGAAGGCACGATAGTTGGCTGCTTCTTGAAGCTTCTTAGCATCTGTCCAATTATCTTTAGGTTTAGGAACCGTAGCTGACGTAGCTCCTTTTCCTTGATCAGGTGCTTGTGCCACGACTGGGTGCACCCAACCGTTTTCAACACTTTCTCACACACCTTTTCCAAGCGATCTTAGGAAGATTGCCATCATAGACTTCCAATACGAGTAATTAGAATCGTCAAATTGCGGAGGCCTAGACATCGGTCCACTTTCTTGATTCATGATTTCCTAGTAGCACAGGTCCTTAGATCTTTCGTAATGTAGATGAAAACCCACTCTGGTGCCAATTCAAATTTGATACTCGTACACCAAGTATCCAGAGTTGCATGTAAATAGAACAAACAGATAGTAAAGAAGATTCAAACAATTGTGAAAGCAGTTTTCACTAAAAATTGAACCTTCAAGAGAGCGTCCCACTCTCCCTTCAGATCTCTTTCATTAATGTGAATAAAACAAACACCATCCAAGGGTTTACAGTATAGACTCCCTCTACACTCTACTTGAATAGTGATCCACACAACTACTTATCTGACTACAACTCCCTTGCGGATTTCCACTCAAGGGAAGAAAACATAAAATTACAACAAAAATCAGAGATCCAAAAGTCGTCCTCTAGTTGGGTCTCGTCTTCCTTTATCCTCAAGCTTCATTTGGTAATTCTTTGCGCCCAAGTCAAACATAAAAAAGGAAGGTCTTCAATTTAGGAATCCCGCAATCTCTCTCTCTCTTTTGATTAAGGAAGATGAATCTTGCACTTAATCTCATAAACCTGCCAAAATAAAATACACATTATTAATCAATTAATTTTTAATAGAAAAGGGTTTTCATCCAACTAAAAACAAACTTCCCTTAAATACACTCGCGATTTTCTGAATGCTGTGAATCCAGAAGATTCATCAATTTACTGCCAGTCTTCAGAACTTACATAATTAATTTGAGTTTTCATTGATTTTTTTTAGCTAAATTGATAAACAATCACCCCTAAATAATTAAACATCATGTTTAATGATCATCTTTGTCAAAGATGTCAATCGATCTCCACAACATCATAGAACTATATATGTGATTAATTCGCGCACCGTCCATTTCTAGTTAAATAATACAATTAATTAACCAGGGGCAGATCAAATGAGGATAGCTCTTAAAATATGGACACCTCTTAACTATTGATTTTGTGTTGGTCAATGGCTCAGATTAAGTAATTGGAATACTTATGCACATGTGTTGAAATAAATATATTAGTGAGAATCCTGATCATCTACTGTTTGTAAGTAGCATTTGGACAATCACTAGTGAGTATCATCATGGATTATGATCAGCTATGAGTTATGAGTTATGACGCATCAATTATACTATTAAATTTTCAGGCAGCGGCTACAAATTCTTATGATCAGATTTCTGTGCCATTTTGGATTGACTTATCAATGCTTTTGCTTTTAGCGAACCTGTATAACAATGATCGCATTAATCAATCATATCAGTTTAAATACTGACCAATTATAAGCTATAATTTAAGGGAAAGTTCTTTAAAAATCCCTAAGTCACTTTTTACTTTCCTTCTCAGTCCCCAACTTGTTTTTTTTTTCCTTTGAACTCCCTACCCTCATAATGATGTTCCACTTAACTCCCTAGTATTAAGTTAAATAAAAAATAAAATATTTAATGACATTATCCTACTCAAACTCTTCATTATACATTATTTTATTAGTTTTCTTTTACCTTTTTTCTTACACCTACCATACATAATAATATTATATTTTTACTCAATCATCTTCCCCCACCCAAAAAATCCTCCC